GATAAAACCATTACAAATAGCTCAATGATTCTGAAAACATTAAACTAGATACCATCCATAAAAACATCAAAATCCAATCTTTATATACATATATGTTATATCTTTGATTCATTAGAACAATAAAATCTCAAAATCTAATCATGCTAAGTAATTGAATTACCTAAATCGAAATCTAAAAAAAAAAGTGAAAATATAATCAGTTCGCAATGTGTCACTTTTTATCTTTATGGATGATGAACTTGTGACCATCCATGTCCACAAACGACAGCTACAGCTGGGAGAGCTTCCTAAAGAGACATTCTTTCACAGTCGTGATCTCCGAGACAGTGCAAGCCGCAGCTCATCCCTTCTCTGATGAAACGGTCGCTGAATCCCGAGCTCATCCCCTCTCTGAAACTCCACCGCAGCTACCCTGAGCTCAGCCACACTGGATCCTGATCTCAGCCATGGAAAATCCCGGAGCTCGTCCACGATCAATTTCATTACTAGCATTGGTCTTATCATCATACCTATTGTTCCTCTTTTGATTTTTGTAATTGAACTCTGGGTATTATGTTTGGAAATTTTAGAAAGTGTAATTGAGTTATTCATTCAAAAAAGGATAAGTTTCGTGAAGAGAGAGTTTTTTAGGGAGAGAGGTAGAGTTCTTGAGCTTCATTGTCTCTGAGAGGAAAATAGACAGATTTACTTTTGTTATACTCCTATATATTAAATGAGAAGTCACTTTACTGGTGACGTTTCGCTCATAGGTGAAGTTTCAAGAAATTGTTATAATTTGATTGGTCGATTATTCTTAATTTTTATTTATTTAATTTAGATCTAAAAATTTAAGGTAAGTATAAAATCATTTAACATTACTTGTCATATAATCTAAAGAATATTACAAATAACAATTTATGGAAACTAATTCACGAAATTATAGAAAGATTAATAACGTTTTATTTATTACTTTTAATATTTTTAAATTATAAAATATAATGAACGAAATTTTATATAAGATAATTATAATAGTTTTATACTCTACTTGAAGAATTGTATTTGAATATAATTATATAATAACTATTTTAAATATTGAAAATCCAAAGATTTTTATTAATATTATTTTTACATTATTTATTATTTTTGAAAGAATAAATTTATCTGAATTTTAAAATAATTTGTAAAATGTTATAAATTATTTATCAAAATATAAACCTACTATATATTGATTGAGAAGTAACATATGTGATTTTTTATTACGTGCATAAATGAACTCTTCAAATTTTTATAATTTGATTGGCCAATGATTTTTAATTTTATTTATTATAATTATATATAAAGGATAATTCAATTACAACTTTCCAAATAATCTACTTAATTTTAAAAAATAATTATTTATGGTAACTAATTGTTGAAACTATGAAAGAGTAATAATGTGATCAAATTTTTTTATATATATAAATTACATAAAATAATAAACAAAAATGTTTATATTAATTGATATAATGATTTTATAAGCCAATATAAATAATTTTATAAATTTATTTATAATTTTATATCCTCCTATATATTAAATAAGAAGTCACTTTATTGATTACTGGTGATGTGTCGCTCATAGGTGAAGTTTCAAGAAATTGTTATAATTTGATTGGTCGATTTGTCTTAATTTTTATTTATTTAATTTAGATCTAAAAATCATTTAACATCACTTGCCTTATAATCTAAAAAATATTACAAATAAAAATTTATGGCAACTAATTCTCGAAATTATAGAAAGATTAATAATGTTTTATTTATTACTTTTAATATTTATAAACTATAAAATATAATGAATGAAAATTTATATAAGATAATTATAATAGTTTTATACTCTACTTGATGAATTGTATTCGAATATAATTATATAATAACTATTTTAAATATTACAAAATCCAAGCATGTTTATTAATATTATTTTTAAATTATTTAGCGTTGTTTAAAGAATAAATTTATCTGAATTTTAAAACAAGTTATAAAATGTTATAAATTATTTATAAAAAGATAAAACCTACTATATATTTATTGTGAAATAACATAAGTGGTTTTTTATTATGTGCATGAATGGACTCTTCAAATTGTTATAATTTGATTGACCGATGATTTTTAATTTTATTTATTATAATTATATTTTAAGGATAACTCAATAAAAACTTTCAAAATAATCTACTTAATTTAAGAAATAGTTATTTATGGTAATTAATTGTTGAAACTATGAAAGTGTAATAATGTGATCAATTTTTTTATATATTTATAAATTACATAAAATAATAAACAAAAATGTTTATTTTAATTGATATAATGATTTTATATTCATATAGAAAGCCTTATATTTGTATATAAAGTATCATAATAGCTATTAATGTTTAATAAATTTCATGCATGCTTTATAAATCATTTTTAAAATTATAAATAAATTTATAAATTATTTATATTTCCTTATCAGATGTTTTACATTATTATAAGAGGTTCTAAGTCATTTATAGAAGCTTATATATTAATTTATAAAATGTATTTTGAAAATTTATTTTATATTAAATGAAAACTCACTTAGTTAATATGTTTTAGGTGTCTTTGAGTTTTAGAAAAACTATTATAATTTGATCCGTTAATAAAGTTTCTATTTTATTTATTTTATGAGTAAGAAAATCACTTCTAGAACCAATTTTATCAGTATCCAAACGATATAAATATATTTCATAAAATAACTTATGGTAATTAAATATGTGATTTGTATAAAATATATGTAATGCTCATAAAACCACTTTATTACTCAAGTATTTATAAATTATATAATATATTTCAAAAGTAATTTATATAATTGACATAGTAGTTTATATTGTGTAAACGACCTATTTCCCCATCATAACTATCAATAGTAATAAATGCACACAAACTTTGGACCTGATCCTAATTGCACACAATTAAACAATATCAAACTATTTCTCCCCAAAAAAAAAGATTGAAACCCGATCCCCCCTAAAGTTTGAAGAATGTACTACTACCAACAAATGACGGTTTAAAGTAGGTTTAGTATTCTTTGTTTTCTGATTTTTTTTTTTTTTTAGTTTTTAGGGTTCCAAAAGAGGTGAATCGGTTAGGGGAAGATTAATAGAGGTTCGGGTCGGGTTATAATCGATTCTTTTGGATCAGGTTGTACCAATGTTAATCGAAACCATTGGATTCAATATCGGTTAACGTTACAAACCATTAAAACCAATCTCAATTTTTTGTCTGTGTGGAAACGAGTTTTGATCTTTCATTTTGTGGAGAAATAGGTTGCTATAGTTTAATTGTGTGCAATTGGGACGAGGTTTAAATTCGTGTGGATCTGTTTCTATACGATAGTTATGGTATGGAAATAGGTCGTTTACCCTTTTATATTCCTATGTAGTTGAATATGAATATATAGAGAATGTGTAACAATCATATTGTTTTATCTTTTATCTTTTAATCTTAATAAGGACATATGACTGTAGCTATAAATTATTTAAAAATAAAATGTTTCAATACTACATACCTTCAAAACTCATTTATATTAAAAACTGAATTATGAATATTATATATAACTAATTTTAGTAAAACACTTTAATACAAAATATCAACAGATATTTAAAATAGTCATAATCATCTTTTTCAAAACTAAATATTCTGTAAAAATATTTAACAGTAAACACATAAACAATTTTTGATGGTGAAAAAATATCTTAATTTGGCAAAATATAATAAATATACTGTTACAAAACATTCAAACCCCCAAAATTGCGGGTATCCACCTAGTTTGGTAATTAGAATCGTGGGGAAACTGTTTTTTTAGACCAAATAGGTTTGAATATTGTCCTTTAGTCTAAATTATATTTTGTACCAATTTTGACTCTAATGCCCTTTATGTATTTCCGAAATTATTTAAAAAAAAATAGATTTATGAAGCAAATTTTTTTTAAAAAAATAGTACATAATAATGAAATCTCTATATCTATATAGTGATATTTTCTTCCTGTTTTTAAAATATGTAAATAATAATTTCATATATCTATTCTACCGAAATTAGAATACGTATACTACGGATTAGAATACGGAATCCACTTTTTCACTATTTCTACGAACTGCAGAATATGTTTTCTACGGAGATAACACGAATCTAAAATAGAAATTGAAATCTAAATTATTACTTAAATCTAAGACAAGTAGAAGTCAGAATCTAAATTCGCACAACGTTCAAATACACGTAGAAACTGATTTCATATCTCTTTACACAGTTCTACCTTTAGTAGAATCTGAATTCTACGGATAAATATTATTAGATCCGAAAATATAGCAAGAATATATTAGAAAATATTCTATTACCATATTTAAAATTCAACTTTAAAAAAAAAAAAATTCAAAGGCAAAAACGTTTTATAAAAGGTAAATCTTTTGAAAATATTCTCACGGTTATTGTCACGTTCTTCTCACGCCTCTTCTCCATTCTCCTCAATATTTTCACATTCTTTACCTTGTTTCTACCATGATTCATGTATATGCTTCATGTGGTGTTTGGGAATCGGTTGTAGCTTCAGGTTGGAGGTTTTCTGTTGATGAAAAGAAAGGGGGAAGGTTACTTGCTTTGCAATTGAAGTCCTCTCTGGAAGAGTTACAGAAAGTTGTTATAGAGGATTTTGGTTTCAAAGATAAGGATGCTGATTTGGAGCTAAGTTACATACCTTTTGGGTTGATGGACACATCAGAATGTCCACCGGTGGTCATCGGAAACTCACGCCAAGTGCACAACTTTCTAGGGTTTTGTAAGAAGCATCAGACAACTCGGTTATGTGTCTCCTATAAACCGAAGGAAGATAATCCAAACAAGATCAACATTGATCTTAATGAGATGCCCATTGATTCACGTACTGTGGAAGAGGAGGACCCGAAATCCTTGTGCCAATGGGGGCAATTCAGATGTCAATGTTAAAGAAGCTAAGCATAACAACAAGAGAAAAGAAAAGATGGAGCATTGCAAGACTAATGGAGATGATTATGGTGTTGATGAGTATAATGAGAAGAAAAAAGGAAAGATGATAGAATACAATGTCGATGGAGATGTTGATGTTGCTGACACCATCTTCTCTGAAGAAGAAAACAGAGAGAAAAGTTATCAAAGAGTTATGTGGTGGAGTTGGTTAAGCAAGGAGATCTTTTCCTCAACCGAGCAGTATTGAAGGCGAAGTTTGAGCTGTGTGCAATGAAGCATAACTTTGACTACAGAGTTATCAAATCCAATAAATCAGTTTGGTGTATTAGATGCGCTGATAATGTTTGCAATTGGGGTGTTCGAGTTGCATGTATGAACGGGTCTACATATTTTATTATTAAGAAGTATGTCGGTACACATTCTTGCGCACCTTCTAGCAAAAGTAGAGCCGGTAAGACTGCTTCAGCGAAAACAATAGGAGGCCTGATCAAGGCTAAATATGAAGGCGTCAAAGAAGGGCCTAAAACGAAAGATATTGTTCAGATTATGCGTGATGATTATGGATGTGAGATATCTGAATCCTTAGCGTGGGATTCTCATGAATTTGCAATCAGCGCCATCAGAGGTATTCCAGAGCTAAGCTATGGTAAAATACCGAAGTATTTGCACATGCTGCGAGAGGCAAATCCGGGAACACATTCCGCTTATGAGACTGACATCAATGGTCGATTTCTCTATCTTTTTTTTAGCATTTGGTCAGTGTATTAGAGGCTATAACAAAGTCATGAGGCGTGTTATTGTTGTTGATGGAACATTCTTGAAGAATAAATTCAAAGGAGTTCTATTGGTTGCCACTGCTTTAGATGGAAATTCAAATTTGTACCCTATAGCTTTTGGGGTAGTAGACTCTGAGAATGATCATGCTTGGGAATGGTTTATGAGACGATTGAAAGAAGTTATTGCTGATGATATGGGGCTGGCTTTTATTTCGGACAGACAAATGTCTATAGGGAAGGCACTTGAGAACGTGTATCCGCTAGCAAAACATGGGATTTGTATTCATCACTTGTTGAACAAGGTGATTTCAAATCACAGAGGAAATGGGTTAGCTGGGTTGATTTCTAAGGCTTCAAAGGCTTATAGAGTGGCTGATTTCAAGAAGATGTTTGCTCATATTTGCAATATCAGTCCACTAATAGGAACTTATCTAACGCAAGCTGATGTTCGAAAGTGGGCTAGATGTCAATTTGTTGGATACCGGTATGACATTAGGACAACCAATCCTGCTGAATCCATTAATTCTGCCTTGCGCACGCCAAGAGAGTTTCCGGTAATTCCTTTGCTAGACAGCATTAGAGAAATGCTAACACGATGGTTTTTAAAGCGTAAGAGGAAGATTTCAAAGCATACGCATCCTTTGACCATAGATGTGGAGGAAAAGATTGATAGGAGAATCGAGAAAGGTAAAACTTTTGTAGTTTACCCTGTAAACGACTATCAGTTCCTTGTTAAGGGTGCTACAATTGACTGCTTCGTTGATTTGGATAAACGGATGTGCTCACGTGGGAAGTGCAACCTCTTGAAAATTCCTTGTAGACACGCGATTAAAGCTGGTTTCTCTGTTGGCAAACAACCACACACGTTGACTGATTTGATGTACACCACGGGAGCTTGGAGAGAAGCTTATCAAGAAAGCATAAATCCCATTGATGTTCCTGAAGATGCTTGGTCTGTCCCTGAAGATGTAGAAAATTCTGAAGTGTTACTGCCTGAGACAAGAAGGTCTCTTGGAAGAAACAGAAAAAAAAGATACGAAACCGTTGAAGACAAAATTCGATAATCACAAGGATCACATGGACCTAAGCTTCGCAGGTGCAGCAGGTGTGGTTTTGGTGACCACAACAGATCAACTTGCAAGATGCCAATATAGTCGCTTTGTTTACTGTTTTTTTCACCACTTTGTTTCAAATTTTCAAGAATGTATTTGGTTAGTTTTGAACAAGTTTGCTTCATGTTTCAGTTTCGAACAAGTTTGCTTCATGTTTCTAGTAATACGCATTTAGTTTCAAAAAAGATTGTTATATTCTCTTGTTGATCATATGATATGCCGCCTTGAATTTGGCTGTAAAAACCCATTCAGTTTCAAACAAGTATAAACACATCGAAAAATGCTCAGTCGCGTGAGATCGATCGATCTACAAAACAAGAGGTCGATCTGCTCGGTCGATCGATCTACAAAACAAGAGGTCGGTATGCTCGGTCGATCGTGTGACTAATCAGAAATTTAAAAAACGCGGACCATATTTGGATCGACCTTATCGAATTCAGTCGATCTAAACGATCGATCTCCTTAGGATCGATCGATCCTTTATGTAGAACGATCGATCTTGTGGAAAATTATCCCAAATCGATTTCTTGGTTTTCTTTACTTAAATCTGAATTTGTTCATTCTAAATTTCACTTATTAAACTACTTCTTTGAAATCAAACACAACATAGCAACATAAAACAAGATTTCCTTCATAATCATGATTCTTCAAGTTAGAATACAAACCGACTAAATAAAAACATAACATAAACATTAAAAATAAAAAAAAACATGCAAATAACTGATCAGCAGTGGTCGTCAGGACTGCAACTCCTACTCTGTCCTGGTGCACGTCTGCTTCTATGGAAGCGTGAACATCGCTCTGCATCTGCTGCTCCACCGGGTGGTGCATCTTCCGCGTCGTTTGCCTCTGTAGTATCAGCAGGTTCTGAAGCCTCTGGAGCGTGGCAGCAGGCAAGAGGTGGTGGAGATCTAATCTTTGCAACTGCACCCCAAACAGTCTGCATCATCGTCGAAAGCTTGACCAGGGTATCCGCAGTCCAGGCGAACTGCTGCTGATGTGTACCATCTAATGGTGGGGGTCCAGAATCAAACTGACCAGTGTATGCAGGTAACAAATACTCCATGGTAGGGTCTGGAGTATGATCCACTGCGATACCAGGAATGGTGTCATCCTCACATTGAGGAGGACCCGAAGAAGAGGAACCACGACGACGTTTTGAAGCTGGTGGAGGAGGCGTGATAAGAAGCTCAGCAGGAGGCATGAATGTTACGTTCTCCTCAGACGTCAGAGATGTAATTGTGGGCTGTGGAAGCTTGCAATGAAGAATGGTGCCATCAGGTTTGGTAAAACGATAAATTTTACCAGGGAGGAGAGTCCTGGTGTTCTGAAAAAACTGGCAATCGTATCCACACAAGGAGTCTTCGAAAGATCTATTTTATGGTACTTGAAGATACGAGTAAGTAGACTACCAATAGACTCCTCCAAAGGCTTCTTATTAAGAGGACGAACACCTCTAAACTTCCTTTCAAACAACATCTGAGCAAACAATGCTCCCATGTTTACCGAAAGCTCTGCTGGAGGTTATTGTCTAATGCCATACTTTGGCCTGAGATTTACTGGAAGCCCATAATGAATAAGCTGTGCTTCATCCTCAGTAAGTGATCCTGCTTCTTCCTTTCCCAATAGAAGATGACCCAAATATTTTAAAACCACTCGCAAAACCAAGTTTCTGACCATAGAAATTTTAGCTTCCCTAGAAACAGTAGAATCGTCTGCAAACTTATTCCACAACATATAAGCACAAGGGAACTTGGACAAAGAACATGCCTCATATTTGGTCTCAACCGAATAGTGTACACAGCTTGTGTATAGACATCTCATAAAGCAGTCCACTGGATAGGAATGTAAGTTTACCTTTGCTAGCAACCTTCTTTGCCTCGGACTTGTAGTGCAACTCAACTGAAGAGAGGAATTATATAACTAACTCTGGATAGATTGGTTGAGGATCATAGCCAAGAGTCCCAAGTCCCATGTTTTTCCACTTCTTTTTCACATCACGCAGGATTCCCAACTCCCTTGTAGTGAAGTCACAGATGAACTTTGTTGGTTTCAATGTCATCCGCAGAAAACCATTGTAGAGAATGCAATGGTAATCACTCCAAGCAGCATTGTAGTCCCGGTTTTTGTATGGTGACCATTGTTTCAACACCGTCTTACTAACGATATCTTTTCCACGACTTTTTCTGAGTTCAGAGAATGGAGTCAATGGCTGCCGAGGCCAAGGGGATGCTTCCTGAGGCGCATTACTCTCGGGCTGAGCTGAGGTCGAGGCAGCTGCTGTGTCACTCTGTGTTGCCGCTTCTGCTTCTTTCTCATTATTTCTTCCTCTTGTTCTCGCCATTTTTCTGCAAATAAACAGTAAAAAATCAGTTATTTGAAGCCTCAATTTCAACACCAATGCTACACATATAATAATGAAGCAATCGAGATCCTAATATATATTTTTTTTAAAGAACAAGACTTCAAATTCATAAATTTATCCTAAAACTATGATTTAAGGCATGGGGTGGGTACGAAATTGTTCCTAAACATAACTATTACACTCGTTTGAAGCCAAAACACCATAACAAACTAAAAAAAAATCAACTTTTTCATAGTTTTTTTGAACTCTTAAATTGAAGATTGAGTTTTATACCTTTACAGATCAAACGAAAGAGTGATAGATTCGGACAAAGCTAGCGAAATCGTGTGGATTAGGCTCAAGAATCGTCCAAATCAGAGTAAAATTGAGTGAGTTAGGGTTTAGTGAAATTGAGAGAGAAATCACCCCTTTTTCGAGTTGGAAGAGAAGAGAATGAGGGGTTTGATCCCTAAAACACGAAATCCCTTTGTTAAATCGTGTTTGGCCGGTTCAAATCAAGTGTGATTTAAACCGAATATAACCGAGCAAAACAAGACGGGATCGATCGATCTGATCTAGGGGATCGGTCGATCCACGCAGATCGATCGGTACGGTCGATTAGACTCTAAAGCAGTCGATCCGTTTATGCTCCGCGTTTTTTTCAATAAACTGCTCAATCACGAGATCGATCGTGTGGATCGATCCTCTGATTATGGGATCGATCGATCCCGTCATATAGAGCAGTTTCCTTTGTGGTTTTGGGTATAAGTTTTCATTTGTGGTAAAGGATCTACACTAAACTCAATCTTGCCGCAAGTAAAGATAGCTTAAACATCCTAAAAAAAAAACAAGTGTTATACAATAGCTTAAACATCCTAAAAAACACCAAAAACTTGATTATGAAATGTCAATACATTCATTACTCTTATATGTGGGAGGCTCATACTTGGACATCCTCTCTAACATCTCTGGATCATTACTTGCTTCAAAGAGATCCCAAACAATCCTTATTCGACCTGTCTTGATGTTATCGTCATCCATCAGTGATAAATCCAATCCAAGCACATGGCATTCGATGTGTTTTACAGCATATACACCACAATGACAAGCACGTTGGTTGAGATTATGCATAGGGGTATAGCTAACAGCGTACGGACTGATGGTAAGGTGCTTCTGGTTTGTCACCGACTAAACTGCCTTAACGATCCTAGGAATAAGTACTGCGAATGCTTCCACCTCCATGTACTTCTGTAAACCCGCACAATCAAACACTTCGATATGCCTACTCACGAAACTGATGCATAACGAGATCCAGTGATTCTTATTGACCCAGACTGGAACGTACATCCGATCCACATCAACACTCCACAACTTTCTTGTTTTTCCGTGAGAAGGCAGTTCGCCTTTACCATATTCCTGTAGCAACACATCCATCTTGTACTTCTTCGCACCATCCCTTGTAAAATTGATGTACTCTCTTCTAATGAGGTCGCTGAACTGGCATGACATGAAAGCAACACGATCTGTTTTCCATCGCCCAAGTGTTGTTCTTTCATGGAAAACATACATTATAGCATCAATCTCCTACAATAACAAGGCTGATATTGGTAAACAGTTTATATAATACCAAAATTTTATTACAAGTCAGGAGTTGGATACTTACAATGTTGTGAAGCCACTCATTTGGAGATATAATACGCTTACATATATCCTCCACTAATAAACATGGGCCAACCTGTAAACCCATGTTATCAAAAATATAAATTAGTGACAACATCATACAAAAATATAAATTAGTAATTAACTTACGTTCTTAAGTCCTGCCAATTCTGAATTTTTTCGAAATCTTCATTAGACACATATACCAATGGTGCATCAGGTTCGCGGGCACGATCTATTTGGCGGTCAGATAATTGTGGTATTGTTATCTTCTGTTCTATTCCTGGATCATCGGTTTTAGGTTGAGAAGGATCAAAACCCTCTACAAATGTATCTTGTGAAAGGTCCGGAAAGCAGCTTTGCAAGTAATCTTGTGTACTCATATGCACATCAATTCCTGGTGATAGAGTTAAGTTTACTCCAGATAAATCAATAAGCGGATCATCGGTGATTAATTCTTTTTTTTTTCACAGCCTGATGACACACATAAAAATTAATAAGATTTTAATTTAAAATATAGTACACAACAGTAATACATATTACAAACATACCAAACTAGACAAACAAAATGTCTAACCAGATATTACATATCAATAATACCACACATACATCCGACAAGTTCCTAATGCAAACATACCACACTAGACAAACAAAATATCATACCGCCTAGTTCCAGCATCCTAGGTCCAAAAAAACTACTTCCAAACAACTAGTTCCAAGATCCAACAATCCTTAACCCTTTCTCTTATTCGTTACCTTTCTTGTTTGTGGACCTGTGACTTTTTTGGTCTTCGCAGGAGCGCTGTCTTTCTTGGAGAAGGCAGAAACTGTGTCTTTTTGGGAGAAAGCATGAGCTGTGTCTACTCTACTCTTGCTAGAACCGGTATGTTGATCACTCTTTCCTGCTATTTCGGAGAGGACTAACGCGGTCCTGAGCTGTGAAAACTCACTCTCCAACTTCCCGAGCCTGCTTGTTACCTCTGTCTCAATCTTGTCAATTCTATCGGAGACCTGTTGTACAATTTTCCCCTCAAACGCAGTAAATGAAGCTTTTAGCAAACCCTCGAAGAATTGCTTCATGTCTGTGTTAGTGCTCCCGCTCCCCTTGTTTGAAGCAGATAGCTGGCACAACAACTTCTTCTTCCTTGCATCTGCTCCTTGGTCAGCATTCTTTCTCTTCTTTGTACCTGAATCCACATCCGGTGTAACATGACTACTCTCACCAATCTTGGTATCAGCATCGGCATCTCATTCCTCTTCCTCAGATTCCACCATTTCAGACCCTGGACCTCCTTCCGATACTCCCCAAACATGATTGCTCCAATCGTAGTTTTCTTTGATCATATCCACTAAGCGCTCAACTTTTTCATCTTTCTTCTCATCCTTCCTTGCAAAATCTGAACCCAAAAGGACCACTCCATCTCCGCCTACTTCGAGGAATGAGTGTAAAATCCCCTACAAAAGATTGAAATCATTAGTAAAATGATTTAGTAAATAAAACATTTTTAATACATAATTTTGAAGAGACTAAAATCATTACTAAAATAAACAAGACAATCAAACATTTTTATTACAGAAATCTATTCATACCTTCTCTGGAAATAATGTCTCAACCCCAATGATGTCTTCTATTTTGCACATCCAGTCCAATTACCACACAGAGGACCCATGAAATCGTCCGTGACCTTCGTCCCACACATCTCTCCCAAAGCAGGAATAGCTTCCATAACCCAAACCTGGAAAGCATACAAGAAACCTTCCATCAGGTACCCCTCCTTCTGCTCCAATTTACGCCTTGCCTTTACCATCGATTTCAGTAGGAAATCATACGAGTGCAAACCCCAAGGGTACTTCCGTAGCTTCTCAAAATCCATCACCAACTTCATGTACTCAAGCGGGATATTCACCTTCTCATCCCTCCCAAAGACCACACCCATAATGACACATTGATAGACCAGCCTCACCCTATCAACAAAACTCCAAGTGCTACAGTCATCCAAATACTTCTTTTTAATATCCTGCACACTGATTTTCCCACGCGTCCTTATCTGGTTGCTCCAAAAACCACCATCATCAGTCCATCTCAATAACCCACAGGTCTTATCTTGTTTCACTTTCAGACCAGTGACAGCATGATACTCTTGCAATCCAAAACGCAGAGGCCTCCCCGCAAATGTAAACCATTTCTCATGCTTCAAGCTTGTCATCAACTCCTTACAGAGGAACGCGTGTACCACCCTCGCTGAAAACTTCAGCTCATTCTTCTCAATAGCTATAATATGCGAGAAAAGGGGATCATTCTTGACTTCATTGAATTCCAACTCCAATTTTGACCGTAGAAGCTCGAAAAGTTTCATTCGCCAACTGTTATTAATCTTCTTAGTCTGAGGTTCCAACCCTTCTGCATATAGACGCCTAGGCAACTCCAACTCCATAGCTGTAAAATAAAGACAATATATATCAATAATCAATTTCAACACCAATGCTACACATATAATAATGAAGCAATCGAGATCCTAATATTTTTTATATTTTTTTAAAGAACAAAACTTCAAATTCATAAATCTATCCTAAAACAATGATTTAAGGCATGGGGTAGGTACGAAATTGTCCCTAAACATAACTATTACACTCGTTTGAAGCCAAAACACCATAACAAACTAAAAAAAAATCAACTTTTTCATAGTTTTTTTGAACTCTTAAATTGAAGATTGAGTTTTATACCTTTACAGATCGAACGAAAGAGTGATAGATTCGGACAAAGCTCGCGAAATCGTGTGGATTAGGCTAAAGAATCGTCCAAATCAGAGTAAAATTGAGTGAGTTAGGGTGTAGTGAAATTGAGAGAGAAATCACCCCTTTTTCGAGTTGGAAGAGAAGAGAATGAGGGGTTTGATCCCTAAAACACGAAATCCCTTTGTTAAATTGTGTTTGGCGGGTTAAATCAAGTGTGATTTAAACCGAATATAACAGAGCAAAACAAGACGGGATCGATCGATCTGATCTAGGGGATCGGTCGATCCACGCAGATCGATCGGTACGATCAATTAGACTCTAAAGCAGTCGATCCGTTTATGCTCCGCGTTTTTTCAATAAACTGCTCAATCACGAGATCGAGCGTGTGGATCGATCGATCCCGTCATATAGAGCAGTTTCTTTCGTCTTTTTTTTTCCCCGATTTGAAGATTTTTATTTTTAATCTTTTAATGATTTTTAAGTGACTTTAAGAGCATTGTTGCCATTTAGAAAATATTTAGCCTAATGGAACAATAAGTTAATGAATTTAACCTAAAGGGACAATGTCCAAACTTATTTAGCTTAAAAAAACTATTTTCTCTAGAATCGTAAAGAGAGAAGAGTTTGTTTCTACTCAAGGGGCATTAAAATCATTCTCTCGTTTAAAAATGTGTGGCAAACATAATGTGTCTTAAAGTGAAATTGAAAAATGAAAAAATGTCTATAAATGTAATATTCTCAAATTATATTCAAAGATAACTAACCTAAAAGGCTAAAACAAATAATAATGACACCAAATAATTTAGAGAAAATAGTTTTTTTAGACCAAAACCATTAAGAAGTTGTCCCTTTAGTCTAATCTCATTTAGTTATTGTTCCATTAGATTAATTATTTTCTAAATGGCAATAATACCCAATAAAAAAGTTTAATAATTCGTAATTATAATTAAAAAATAATAATAAATTATTATTTTAATTAAAAAATTGTATTAGAAATTAAAAAAAAAAAAAAAAATAACAAAAAAAAAAAAAAAAATAAACAATATATTTTCGATTTGATCAAAAAGATTCCGGAAAATATTTTCCAAAGATTTTCCTTTTAATAAAACGTTTTTGCCTTTGAATTTTCCTTTTTTTTTTAAATCAAATTTTCCTATTTTTTTTAAAATCGAATTTTCCTTTTTTTAAAAAAAAAAAAAAATCGATTTTCCTTTTTTTTTAAAAAAAATGGAGTTTTAAATATGATAATAGAATATTTTCTAAGATATTCTTGCTATATTTTCGGATCTAATAATATTTATCCGTAGAATTTAGATTCTACTAAACGTAGAACTGTGTAAAAAGATATGAAATCAGTTTCTACGTGTATTAGAACGTTGTGCGAATTTAGATTCTGACTTCTACTTGTCTTAGATTTAAGTACGAATTTAGATTTCAACTTCTACTCTTTTTAGAACTATATGATAAGCGTGGAATGTGTATTCCAAACTATTTTAGATTCATGTTATCTCNAACTGTGTAAAAAGATATGAAATCAGTTTCTACGTGTATTAGAACGTTGTGCGAATTTAGATTCTGACTTCTACTTGTCTTAGATTTAAGTACGAATTTAGATTTCAACTTCTACTCTTTTTAGAACTATATGATAAGCGTGGAATGTGTATTCCAAACTATTTTAGATTCATGTTATCTCCGTAGAAAACATATTCTGTAATTCGTAGAAATAGTGAAAAAAGTAGATTCCGTATTCTAATCCGTAGAATACATATTCTAATTTCGGTAGAATAGATATATGAAATTATTATTTACATATTTTTAAAACAAGAAAAAAATATCACTATATAGATATAGAGATTTCATCATTATGTACTATTTTTTTAAAAAAAATTGCTTCATAAATCTATTTTTTTTAATAATTTCGAAAATACATAAAGGGCATTAAAGTCAAAATTGGTACAAAATATACTTTAGCCTAAAGGGACAATATCCAAACCTATTTGGTCTAAAAAAACAGTTTCCCCAATAATTTAAGAAACCGCGTAAAAAATATCCTTTTCCTTTTCGAGTTCCATGCCTTTGTTCCTTCAATTACACAACACTTTTCTCTTCTCTTCTTCCTCACACACAAAAAAAAAACAGATTCTCTCTACTCTCTCTCCGAATCCCTAAATCAAAAGCTATGCAGCAAGACCCGAACTCCAGACCCGCACCGGCCACTGGATACCCCTACCCGTATCCTTACCCGAACCAACCCCCCGCATCCACCAACGGCTACCCTCCAACCGCCTACCCATACCAAAACCACAACCCTCACTACGCGCCACACCCCGATCCACGCGCCCTCCTAATCCGCCGCCTCTTCCTAGCCCTAATGGTCTCAATCCTCATCTTCGGCCTCATCCTCTTCACCTTCCTCCTCATCGTCCGCCCCCAACTCCCAACCGTCTACCTCAACTCCCTCTCCGTCTCCAACTTCTCCGTCTCCGACAACCACCTCACCGGCGCCTGGGACCTCCGCCTCCGATTCCTGAACCCTAACTCCAAGATGTCTCTCTACTACGACACCGTCCTCTGCGCCGTGAATCACGGCGACGAGTCTCTCTCCGAGACGCGGTTGCAGCCGTTCGATCAGGGGACGAAGGTTGAGACTCCGGTCAACGCGACGCTGTCCGTGGTTGGGACTTACGTGGGAGGGCGAGTGGTTGATTCGATTGGGAAGGAGAGGGCGGAGAAAGGGAGAGTGGAGTTTGATTTGAGGATGGCTTCTTTGGTTACGTTCCGGTATGGAGTGTACCGGAGGAGGAGGTACGTTACGGTTTATTGTGATGACGTGGCGGTTGGTGTTTCGGGGAATAGTAGTTCGGGGAAGATGGTTGGGGCGGAGATGAGATGCAAATGTTATTGAATCAAGAATTTGATTACATTTAGGGATTTTACAATTTAGGGGTTTATTTTAACCGATTCCGGAGATTATTGAATGTAAAGATCGACGATGGTATTTTCCAATGTGGATGAATGAATATTCATGTTGAGAACGAAACAAAAGAATTGTTTTTAGATAATGTCTTATTTTGTTGATGATGATTGACGATAGTCTAACTTGAACTGTGTTTGGAATGATTTTGGTGCTTTTGAGTTCTTATCTTGGTGATTCATTCTTGGGTTTTTAACTTTTCTCCTTGTGGTGAAGTCGAAAATGAAGAATCCTGGAGGCTGTAGCATGATTGAGTCAATTTGTTACAATGTATCAAGATTGGATCGTTAGGTTAAGTAAAAAGCCAGTGTAGATACTAGATATGCTTAGTGTTGTTGGAGAAGGCTGAGAATTTGTGGGTAATAATTACTTATTTCTTAGTATTTTGTTTAAGGCCATGCTCTGGTTTCTTCTACCTTCAAGTTTTGTTTTGTTGACTGTAGATGTGGTCATGATACATTGTTGCGTGTTTTTTAATATATTTACTCCCTGGATATGCTGCTGAATGATGTTTTATTTCGTATACATCGCTTTCGAACAGTGTGATATTGTTGTTTTGGATTGGTCAGTAAGAGATGATTAAGGGATAATGTTTTCTGAATGGTTCTAGTTGCTACGGTAAGATTCTAGGATCTTTCCTTTATTTTGCAGTATATGCTTAAGGGATTCGTTTGATTTGTAACCACTCGAGCTTTCTAGCTGATTTAAACAAGTAATTGCTGGTGGGCTTTTATGTGTATCTTTTCTGCATTATTTCTATTGATGAGAAACATACCACATCGAAAATATAAGAACTAATCTACTACTATATAAAGGATTAGGGCCAATCCACTAATCACCAATTGCTTTTAAGTTGGAAGGTCATAATAAATCCGAATCTAACATGGTATCAGAGCGATAAGATCCTTTAACCTAATTCACTACAACTACTACTATTATACCGATGTTGGGCCCTCTGTGGATGTTATTCCCACATTGTCCACGCTTCAGACCTAGATGTCTGAGCGTGAGGGAGAGTATTGATGAGAAACATACCACATCGGAAATATAAGAACTAATCTACTACTATATAAAGGATTAGGGCCAATCCACTAATCACCAATTGGTTTTAAGTTGGAAGCTCATGATAAACCCGAATCTAACAATTTCTCTTCTGTTACTCTCAAATTTATTCTCTGTGGTTTTGTAAGATTTCACGGGTCATTAGGAAAACCACTCACTGGTTAAAAACATTTGCTATGTTTACCAGAGTCGTGTTTCGTTTCGTGCGTAGCATAGAAAGGTTCTACAGGTTTTCAATTTTCAAATATCTTTGTCCTATATATCTCTATCATTTTATTTAGAATTCAGTTTAGCGCTCTCGTTAACTCGCTATGATTAATTACATAGATATCTTTAATGAATTTAAATATTATAATTAAAATTTTTATTTAATTTATATTTTATTTTTTTCAAATAACATATATAATAAAAAGGAAACATTTATAAAGTTTTAAAAAAAATTTAAAAATAAAAATATATGTATATAATATGATTTATTAAAAAGGAAAATTCAGAAAATAATAATATTCCCTTTAATAAATATTTTAAATAACATAAATATATTTTTGAAGTAATAAAAATACATATGTTCATGAACATCCAAAAATTTATTAGTTACACTTTCTTTTCTAATATTTTTTAGAAATCAACATATAATTAGATAAATATTATGAAAATACATGTATATTTAAGCGATAAATAAAACTAATTTAATTTGATTTAACTAAAATAAAAAGTAGTATATTGAGTTAAATGTATTTTTAAATAAAAAGTTATTATGTTCAATTTTAATTTAAAAATAAACTTAACTCAATATACTCACAACATGTATGACTAAACTAATCTAATTTATATCCAAAATTAAAGATCTAACTACAATAATAATATATAATTTTATAATAATAATAATCTATTTATTTTTATACATGTAAATTACAGGATGACTCAAAACATATTAAACAGAAAAATAAAAATTAACCAAATGCACATTAGTTATTTTGTAAAATTTATATATATATAAGATTTTAAACTATTATCGTTATATTCATTTATGTAATTTTGAATCAACACGTAAGCTAATATTTATTTCATTTTAAGCATAATATATATTAAGTTGTACATAATCTAACTATAATATATTTATATATCTAAGAAATAACCAACCTAAATGAAAATTAAAAAAAAAAATCAAAATTTATTATATTTAGAATAAAAAATATTATAATTGAATTCAACAAATATATATTATCCAATATACTGAATTGATAACTAAATCGACCACTGATCCAAAAATAATAATATATCTAAAATCATTTGTATAATTAGAAAATATAGTATTATCAATATAAATTATACATATAAACTGATTCAAAATTAAAACTAAATATCAATCAATTATTATAAAATTTTACTTTTATAAATATTCAATCAATTATTATAAAATTTTACTTTTACATACATATCTATTTACATATTAACTTATTTATGTACATACATTTATGTTAACTTATTTGTGTACATTGAATGGTATATGTACATATGTTCCTTCCATTACATAATTAATAATGTAACATTTTTTTTGTTATTGAAAATTATAAATGAAAAAAATGTAGTCTTAAGTCTTAAAAAACATGAGAGACTTGGCAATTCTTCAGTATGTTAATGAGTTTAGTTTCAATCAGCTTAAAGGGTCCCGGAAAAGATGACAAAGGTAATTTGATGAGAACTTTGTGTACATTAATAACTTTGTTCTAAAAGAAAAGATGAGAAAGGTGAAATAAAAAATCTTAAAATTGTGCAATTTGACATGCTGAGTAAGTTTAGACATATAAAAAGGAAACTTTCTATATTGAAGCTGTTGATGAAGTAATATGCATGTCGACAACCAGAAGTGTTTTTAGGCATATACAGTATGTATCTAATTATATTTATAAGAATTACGTATATATATTCATATATCAGCAATGTACATGTATAACTAAACAGTTTTCATATTTACATAACTTATAAGTCTTGATTTTGGAAAATTCCCAAAACCATAATTCTTTCTAATTTTTGCAATTTTGTTCTCTTTTTGAAATCTTAGTTTCAGAAGATTTCCATAATCAACATTCCCCTCTACTCTCTAAGCTTTTCTATATAACTCTGCGTCGTCTCTAAACTTCAAAAACTAGACAAAGTTTGAAGTCAGCTGACAATGGGTAAGGGACAAGCAAAGACAAAGAAAACAGAAGCAAAAGAAGAAGGCGTAACGTTCCGCGTAAGTTATGAAGACATCCAAGGAAAGCGAAATATGAAAATAGTTTTCTACGCTTTTGTCGCTTTTGTGTTACTAGGACTTGGGCTTATCGGCATCTTCCACCTTATCAAACCGCCCGTTCCACTATTTATGCTAGACGATCTCTCCGTCGACCAAGTCTCAAACTCAAGTGTGGTAGTAAGTGTTTTTTATCACGTCTTAAATTCAAGAATTAAACCATAATAAGCTGACTGAAATTCGAATTGGTCATCCTTTAATCAAATACTAATTCTTGTTATTTATCAAAACAGGTGACTCTGTCATCGAACAACCCAAGCCATACGACCAATATTTACTACAGCGAGGTGAGTGTAGGCGTGCAGATAAAAGGAATTTTCAGGTCAGACAGTGTTAACTTGCAGAGCACGCTACAAGAAACACGTGAACGTACCCCGTGGACAACAGTCGTAGCAATCAATAATGGCAATAACGTTAACACTAATGGGAGCTTGGGGATCATAGACGGTTTAATGAAAAACGGTGATGTCGTTGCGCATGTAAAGATCCTAGGCAAATTTGGGATTCTGAAGAACAGTTTACTCTATACATGTCCTATCATGACCGCTAAAAGTTCCATACCTTGTCAAGTCATTTAGCTTCTCGTCTTTTATTTTTTTTAATAAAATTTTGGAGTCCATATCTTCTTTTTTTACTAACACATAATTTTTATGTGTATGAATTTTTATTACATAATAATAATTTTAGTAACTTTGGAAACTATATACTTTAATATGAGAAAAGATTTAGGTTTGAAATCATACACTCAAACTCAATAATTGGGGAATTGACTGGGGGATCAACACAAGATTTTAGTTTCTAATTCAATGGTCTTTTACTAGTTTGAATAACATGTACCCGTTATTATCGTTGTGGGATTGGTAAAACCGAAATCACATTTTATTTGGTTTTGAGTTCCATACCAATGACTTGGTTTCTCATAACTTGGACATTATTTTCTTGTTAACTTTGTTGGATATACAAAATTTCATCACCATCTTGTTTTATTATTGTTTTTTTCTGTTCTCCGAATCCTTTTTCATGTTAATTACTGCAATTTCTAATTCTTGCAGTTAGCTGTCTTCATCGAAATGGGAGAAAGATAAAAAAAGAGCGATGTCTTTAGAAGAGGAATGCATTTAATCATATTCTTAGTTCCGTTGTCATTGTTGATGTGTTTTGTAGTCATCTTGTTGAGGTCTTGGCTTCCCAGCATGTTAAATGTCTAACATAATTGACTAGATGAAAACTGTCAGAAATATATTGAAAATAGAAACAACAACATAAACAGTTGAAGGATAAAAACAGATCAACTGAAACAAATGCATATATAATTTTTTATTTTCTTTTAATAATCTTCCACATCGGTAAGCCATTACCAAAATCATTATATCATTCTCTTATTCATTTTCGTTTAAGCACGACATGATACACCACTTGTGTTTTCCACATTTCAAAATCAATTGGGTGCTTGGAGAGTTTCTCAGAAAGTCGACTGAATAGCTCATCGACCACACCATTTCCAAAATGTTGTTCTATCACTGTAGTAAGAAAGGCTCTAAACATGGAAGTGATAAATTCGTTGGATAATCTCTTATCCTCAAATGGATGGCTTATCGTCTCCATCATCTCAATCATAAAACTTCCATTTTCTTCAATCATTAGCTTCAGTTCACTAAACTGGGGGAAATAAACCGGGAAGTTGAACAATTCGATCTTCTCCTCGCTCATTATTCCCTATGAAGTATAAACCACAAACAGTAAATACTAGAAATTTTTCATGATCTTACAAATCTAATAAAATATATGATTACGCTTTGAATTTTCCAATAAAATTAAGAAAATGAGTTATTTGGAGTCGATGTAATATCACATTAACCTTACCGATTTAGCCATGTCAAGAAGACAATCACCAATGGTCTCCATAACATGACCCTGCCATGTTTCATACATGGAAACACCATCAGGCAAACAATTTCCTACTACAATCATCAATCCTCCATGCACAAGCTCTTCTGCTCTAGCTTGAAGAAAAACCTCCATGTCTTTTTTGAACTGGACCTTGTAAGCCTTGGTAACCTCTTCAATCAAATTATTACAGTGAATGTAGTTTTTGTTCCAGGCAGGAGATTTTCTGTCACACACGTGTTCGGGAACTTCGGAAAGCCAGTGAATCGTGTATGAAGTGTGCCCGATATGGATGATGTTTCTTGGTAACAATCGGCCATAGAAAGAGCCTGGAACTCCAGCCAAAAAATATTGGCTCTCTGAGGAAAGAGGTTGGGTTCTAAAGAGTGTGTTGAAGTCATTATTGGATTGATCGTTGAAGAAAACTTGAAACTCAAGAGGCACAATGTTAGTCTCGTTGTTTTCTTTCAAGTGTTTGAATTTCACAGTATCAATGATACTTTGGACAACATGAAATGTGTTAGGTCCAATGGAACAACCAAAATCGGCAATGGTAAAAGTACTGATTAGGTTGGAGTTCAGCTGGAGATCAAGTTTTTCTAAGATGGCTTGCTTTATCCTTTCCTCAACGCCTTTTATAGCTGCTTTCTGTGTCACATAGAAATATTATCTAATTAATGGGAGGGGAGGACTACGAATAAAAAGTCGAAGCTACCCGTTTTGACTAAAAGAATCTTGAACTATTTCACTAGAGGAATAAATTCTCAGTTTTGCGTTAATCAAACTATCTAAGCCTAGTCCATAATTAAATACCACTAACGAGCATCTTAATCATCTAATCAACCGTCGAGTCAAAACAATTAGACACCTCTAGTTATTTAATAAATCGTTAAACCGAACTAATTAGACAGAAACAAACGCAAGAGATATATAGATTGATGGAACATCTTTGATGAGAATCAAATGAGAAAACCGAAACAACCAAGTGAGATATGTAGATCGAATCGAACAAGGTGAAACGACCACTACAGAAAAATAATGAAATCCAAGGTAGCTGGTAGTGGTTCAGTGAATATCAAATGAAAAGAAAACTTTTTGTTTTTTTTTTTGTTTTTCTGAATAGGCAAATGAAAAGAAAAACTATTTAACGCTTTGACATGGTTAAAATCCTCAAATTCAGTATCTCTATTTCGCTTTTTTTTTTTTTGTGTGGTAATGGCTTATATTACTTATTCCATCAAAACTACATAGCATGGTTAACACTAGAGGTGATAAATAATATTTAATTGCATACAATCATCATCACTCCAATCTTGGATGTACAAGAAGAATATTTAACACTGAATGATACTATACCTGGTATGAAGAATTATGGATGTAGCTATGTTGATCCTCTCCGCTGCTCATCGGGTACGAGTGAGAAGATGTTGATGACATTTCTCTATGTTGATGGACACCCACGAGCTTAATCTTGCAATTTTAGATTTCAATAATATATATAAGCAAAGCAATCGAAGCAAATTGCACATTTAAACAAGGTTGGAACAAGTCTGCACTCAGATGACAGCACAAATGTACTGGCAGAACGGAAAACTTATGTTGCATGCCTTTTTTTACGTTATCTTACACATGTCGAAACAAAAACAAATAAATAAATGTGCTGAGGGACGGCAAAAAGTCAAAAGGACATAACCAAATAATGCTCTTCAATAATCTCTATAAAATTATTTGAGAAATTGATTCCTAACTCAGGTTAATTACTTTGATACCCATAATAATGAAATTAATTATTATAACTAGATCTCAACCCGCGCAACCGCGTGGGTATTTGTTTTCATTTATTTTTATATAAACATTTTTTTACTTCTAAATTGGTATATATTATATAAGGTGTGTATATCGAAAATGATGATTAATTATTATATAGTATAGATTAATTATTGTTAGAAAATGATGATTTTATTATTTTTAAAAATAAACTATATAATTTTTAAAGTTAACATCAAAATATATAAATAATTAACTTAAACTATTACAATATTAAATTATATAAGTTTAATTTAATCATGTATTTTATTATAATATCTATAAATTCAATGGATCATCTAATTTTTATTAGCCCAATAAAAATTTCTAGTAAGCCCAATAAATGTTATAACTGAATCTAATGAATGTTATTAATGATTGAATAATGTAATGTCATAAATTATATTAGATGGTCCATTTTAAAATATCACACATGAAGTGAAGTCATGACTTCTCTTTTAATATATAAGATTGTCATTATTGATATATTTCTGTTTTTCTACTAAAATTAAACCAAATTGTCATTCATAACAATTAATTTCTTATTTTTTTCTTAATAAAACTTGTGTTAAATTTTGAAAATTTTAATTTTCGTTTAACAAAACTACAAAAAGGAAATATTTTGAAAATATAAACATACCTATACTAATATGAGAAATTCCCTAAGATAACCTCTTTTAGTTTATTTTCACAAAAGAATCTTTAAGTTAGAAAGTGACCAAAAGAGATTTTATTGAAAGACAAATATATTCTTATACTATTAGGATTAATTTACCATAGATCTTTTTGTTTATAATTAAGGGATGGAGTTTCGGGGAGAGGTTTAAATATTCAAAATTAGAAAATAAATATTAAAAAATTTAGAATAAAATTTTGAAAACAGTTTGAAAAGAATTTTAGATTTAAAAAGAAAACTAAGAAAATAGAAAAAAATAGAAAAAGTGTGAATCTGAAAAACATATAATACGAAAATTTTAAAAAAGTAATTTTATTTTAATTTTTAATATTTTATACTTATTTATTTATTATTTATATATTTCTAAAGTAAAGGACACAAAAGTTTTTGTCTCTTTAGTGTAATATCTTTTGGTCATTACAAAAATTTGAAAAAGACTATTTGATAGAATTTCTCTCTCTCTATATATATATATATATAGATAGATATCTGTAATCGAATTTTATTTTTAGTTTTTTTCCAAAACAACATAAATGTGTACCTATAAATTTTAAAGGTATATAGACACACACATACAGATATATATATATATATATATATATATATATATATATATATATATATATATATATAATATTATTTGAGAAGTGATAGATACACACATACATATATATAGTATATAGATACACACATTCTCATATTTTAGAATATTATTTGAAAAGTGAATTCCCTATGTGTCGCGTTCATATTACCTCTCACAATGATTGATTACATTGATAATCTTAATGAGTTGAATTAATTATTATGTCATTATTGGTATTTCTACTTTTCTACTAAAATTACATTAAATTTCTATTAATAACAATTAATTTATAGAGCATTTGCTAAATTTTTAAATTTAAATTTTATTTTTAAGAAAATACAAAAAGGAAATAATTTTAAAATATAAACATACATATATACATGGGTAAATCTCCAAAATAGCACATTTCTAAGTTTATGTCACAAAATAGTCCTCAAAAACTAAAATGACCAAAATAGCATTTTATCTTTTGAAATTTTTTTAAGAAAATTATTTTTCAAAAATTGAAATCTTATTTCCAAAACCCCACTCCTCGACTCTAAACCCTAAAACCTAAATTCTAAACCCTAAACCCTAAACTCTAAAACCTAAAACCTAAATTTCACCCCTTAACTCTAAACCCTAATGTCTAAATTAATTTATCATTGGGATATAGGTGTATATTTATCTATTTTCATAAAACATTAAGTGCTATTTTGGTCATTTTTATTCTCAAGTGCTATATTTGTGACAAAAACTTTTTTAGTGCTATCCTAGTCATTTCTCTCTCTCTCTCTCTCTCTCTCTATCTATCTATATATATATATATATATATATGTAAACAAAGTTTATTTTTAGTTTTTTTTTTGTTTCCCAAAACAGCATAAATAAAACCGGGCGTAGCTCGAGCCGACCCTAGTATACTGTATACTTATAAAATAGAAGTAGAATTGGAAATATTATGTGGTTTTCATAGAATTATTATGTGGTTTTCTCATATATCTATAAGTTTTAAAAGTATATAGATACATACACACACACACAGATATATATATATATATATATATATATATATATATAAATTTTAAAAGTTTGGTATATATATAACATAACTTCGCAAAAGTTGACACTGGCAGAATAAGTCATTGTAAATCTTCTTTAAAAAATATAAATGATTAAAAGGACAACAATTTTTAAAAACATAAACTGATAAGTTAATATCATATTTTAAATATTTTTATCATAAATATATTTCGATAAATTGATTTAAAGGACAATAACTTTTTAAAACATAAACTGATCAGTTAATATCATATTTTAAAGGTTTTTATTTTGAATATATTTTGGTAAATTATTAAAAATAAGATAATTTAAAAATCAAAATAACTGATGAATTAATATCATATATTTCAAAGATGTGTATATCTTATTACTATCTTAAATCCAATTTAAAAATGCGAGGCTGAATAAAAAGATGAAATACTATTTCTTACTTTGACTATTTTGATTAAATAATTAATTTTAATAACCAAAAAAAATTGATCATATAATATCAGATCTTAAATTAAAAAAGGTATGTAATGAATAACTTAAAACAAATAGATAATTTAAAATTAAATTTAAACTTATTATTGTTACTTTATCCAAATTGAATATGAAATTGATGGAAACAAACTTATATGTTATCAAACCAATAAAAATAGAACAATCAAATAAACCAGTTATTTTATATTTGCAGGAACTTTCAAAGTATTACAAAATATATTATTTCTGATTTTGTATTTATGTTCCCAATTTTCTCAATATAACATTAGATCAAACTATAAATTTTTTTATGAAATATATATACAAATATAAGAAGATGAAAGGGACTATTTGAAATTGGAAAAAAAAAGAATAATCCAACTTTAACTTAATTAAAACATAATTACATTACGAAAGAATATATATTCAACTCAACATATCCAAAATATATACTTGAACCGATCTAACATATTATAACTAAAATTACTTATATCTAACTGAAAATATAATAACACTTAATATATTTTTGATTATATATCTTACAAGTTAATTACAAAATGATTTAAAACTTATAAACAATTAAAAAATATTACAAATTATTATAATTTAATTATTTTATAAACGTGTATGCCCATGCATGAGTAGGGAAGAATTACCTTGTACTTTTAAATTCATGTGGATAATTTTTTGTGGTAAATTCCACATGGATAAGTTAAGGTTCTAGAATTGTACAAGCATGAAAAACAATAATTTCAAATTATATTCTAATCGTCTTCAAGAACTGATTTCTATTTCTATTTCTATTTCTATTTTGACAAATCTACGAAATATGTAGTTTTTCTTTTTGAAGAATAGAACAAAGCAACACATAATCTAGTAAACACAAAGTAATAATTAGTAATTTAGTATATTAACCTCAAAAATATTTTTTATTGAACCCTTGCAATGCCTAGATGGAGAGGGTCTGAGGGAGAGCGCGCAATTGAATTGAATCAACAATAAATTTTATGTGTGTTCATGTGGTTCTAAGAAAGTACATACATTTTTATTGGGAAGGAGAAAGAGCAGAAGAAACGAAAGACATGCACATGCACGAGTAATAAGTTTGGCACTTATTGATCTAGATTTTCTTCGAAAATAGAATATTCGGATCCAGATCTGGATCATGATAGTAAAATTTCCAAACGAATTCAGATTTGGATCGGCGGATCTAGATCCATATTTTTGAAATATTCTAAAATTTTAGTTTTATTAATCATTATGTTTGATATATTAATATTTATATAAAATTAGGTTTGATATTATACTTTTATTTTAACAATATTATATATGTATATATATAACTCTTTAATTTATGTATTAATTCATTAATTTTTTTATTTTTGAAAATATTTCTGTTTTCAAAAAAGAATTACGGATCTAAATCTGAATATCCGTAGATAGTACTATCTCCGTTTCAATTTAATTGTCGTTGTAGAGAAAAAAATTGTTCCTTTTCAATTTAATTGTCGTTGTAGAGAAAAAAATTGTTTCAAAATAAGTGTCATTTTATAATTTTTGTGTAAATTTATTAACTTTATTTATTATTTTTTTATAAGTTGAAATGTGGTTAGATTTATAAGTAATTATATGTATAGTCTGACCTAAAAAAGGTAATTATATTTTCATCTAAAAATATGTAAGATTAAATTTTAAAGTGAAACGAAAAGAATATGATATCCAGTGCCGGCTATTGGGGAGTGCGCAAGGTGGACATGCACACGACTCTTCAATTTTCAGAAAATTTTCTTATAAGAATTAGGGTCCTAGATTATTAAAGAACACATAGCTTATGATCCTAATGTATAAATTTAAAGAGATGTAGCTATAGTTTTTGGGGGGAAAAGTTTTGTGCATAGAACCCATAATGAATTTAAACCGGATCAAATGATATTTAATGAAATTTAGATGGATATCTAAAATCCAGACATTAGTCTTAGTAATCAATAATGGCAATAACTTAAGACTAGTGGGAGCTTCGGGTCGGAGACGGTTTGATGAAAGATGGTGATGTTGTTGCACATTTAAAGATCCTAGGCAAATTAGGGTTCTTGGAAAATAGTTTACTTGTTACCTGTCCTATTTTGACCACTAACCCTTATCAAGTCATTTAGCTTCTAGTCTTCTTTATTTTTTTTATTGAAATTTAGAATGTATCTTTTGTTAAATATGAATAATTATCCATTCAATTATTATATTATAAAGTTAGAAACAACCAGAAGAGCTTACAGAGAAAGACTGTTGACTCGCGAAATCAGAAATCTAAGCAATACCGATAGCACGCACACCACCAACTCGCCAAGATGCTGGAATGAAACACTGGGATCAGCAAAAGCTCTTCGGCGCTACACGCAACACCATTCTCACAGAAAATCGACCGAACTCAAGGGAAATGAACTGGACTGAAATCCTAGAACAGCCCACCACCTTAGACCAGGAAGCGCAACGCCGTTCTTAAGCAGCGCCACCACCCAACACCTAACTAGAGAAACACTAGAGAACCTGGATCTGAACTATATCTTTGACGGGATGACCTAAACCCCTGCGGAAGAAAATGACAGAGGGAGAAGACACCTGGAGATGGCAAAGAGAAGAACATAAAAGGAGAGACCTCTGGCGGTCGCGAAGAGAACGCGACAACGACCGCCAGGAGAGAGTCAACTTCTCTTATACCCCTATTTTTTTAGAGCCAATCTCCTATGGACTCACTTGATCTCCTATACCCCTATTTCGTAATTCTTATTTTGATCAAAACCCAAACATCCAAATCAAATTCTCCCCGGTGTTCAAAACTAAACCCTAACCCCTATGGATTAGTGAATCCTTGGGAAAATATTTAATTTCTATACCTTTCAAAATTCGAAAAATATATTTCAAAATCGTTTTTAATCATATTTTGATGATTGCCACAAAAATAAGAAACTTTTTTTTTTTGAAATATTTTTATCAAATTCTATAAATCAAATAAAAAATATTCACGTTTCCATTCTAATTTTATGATTTTTGTTTGACATATAAAATTAAAAGAAGAAATGTATTCTATAGAGATTAGAGAATGAGATATAAGACCATGTGCAACGGGGGTACGTGCGAATCCTTAGCTGCACCCCCGATGGATTATGCATATAAATAATAATATTTTAGTCTAAATCACTAAGGATCAATACGTAAATAAGGATTTATTTTCGTTGATCCTTAGCTACGTGGCTCGTTCTTGTTCGTCCGTCATTCATACGGGTTTGGTATTGTCTAGAAAAATCAGTTCGATCGAAGACGAGAAAAAATCAGTTCGATCGAAGATGGTATAACATCATCTGATTTGATCTTCGCTTCTGCTGAAAATCATCATTCACCTGAAAATTCGTCTACGATCCGGCGATGAGTTCGGAGGAAACCAAAGTCGTCGGTAAGCTCCGATCAATTTGTATATTTCATCATCGCTCTCTCCTCAACTGATTTGTAGATCTAATTCTTTAGATGTATTGACACGATTAACATAGCTTTTTTTTACAATCAGAATGTGAAGGGATCCACCTTCTCCGGTTTAAGAATCTGATTTAGAAAATGTTTTTCTTTTTTTTTTTCTAGAGTTTTGGTAAATAATGAATCGAGCTTTGTTTTGGTGTAGTGCCAAGGAACTTTAGATTGTTGGAAGAGCTGGAAAGAGGTGAGAAAGGTATCGGAGATGGCACCGTAAGCTATGGTATGGATGATGCTGATGATATCTATATGCAATCTTGGACCGGCACCATTCTCGGCCCTCACAATGTATACTCCATCTCTCTCACCTTGTTTACATTCTCTGTGTTTGATTGATTAAGATGCAAAAGTTGAACACTTTTGGGGAGAAAATGGATAGCTATTAGTGTTCTAACAAAATAAAGTTCATGTTGATCCCTCTTTGGATGCTTTATAGTCTTCTTCCACTTGGATAATCTCTCTCTCTGTTCCCTAATGTAACTAGTCGTCCGTGTGGCGTTTACTGCAAATGATCCATAACTTTTAGCTGCTCTCATATGTTTTATTATAAATTCTTTGTAGCTACATTTCTTGTCCACTTTCTTTCTTTTTTTTAGTTGAAAATAATGTTAAATTAATTCATCTAAAAAACAGTTTTACAATAGTTGTTGCTCTGTTTTGAAATCTGTTATCTAAACAGTTTTACAATAGTTTTTGGATACATTGTCAAAGAATCTTGTCAGCTTTCAAATAGAGTGGATTTTTAACTTGTTTGGTTTCTTCTGCTTTTGGGTTTTGAGTCTATGACGATGTTTGTTTTTGGTGATGAACGAATATTAGACTGCATACGAAGGGAAAATCTTCCATGGAAAGGAATACTCTGAAAGTCCTCCAAGTCTCAGGTTCCAGACCAGGATCAATATGGCCTGTGTTAATCCTGTGGTCATGTGAAGCTCTTCAAGATCTCCATGTTAACAACATTATCATGGAGCTTTTGTCGGTGGAGGCATGGAATGTTTTGACTTCTCCAATTTCGTATCCCAACATCTCCTTAAGTACTTCGAGAATTCTCCGAGCTCTATACAACCTTGATCATTGCCAGTTGATGCTTTCTTCGGTGAACACTAATTCTATAGCTTTGGATATTGCTAAGAGTGTCACCAAGGATGGTCGATATCAATCCTACATAGCTCGAGCTGGACCGAGTTGGCTCTTTACTGCTTTGCAGACAGAAGCTGGGACGCCTGGTCCTCCATGATTAGTACGTCCTGTTATGTGGGAGTCATGTCTTACAAGCAGCTATGGAGAAATTTGTCTCTCCTTCTATACTTAGTTTGCTTTTGCACGGCATCTATTGATGTCTTTCTTTTTTTCTTTGACAAAAAAAAAACAAACCCTGAAACTGGAGTGGTAACATCTCATGAGTGAATATTACTGGTGTTATATATGTATATATCAGCTTATTGTAATTAGGAAATGTCTTATGATCAGGTTGAACCTAGTCTCTTCCCTATGCTCACTAACTGGCGGTGAGAATACACTATGGAGGACATTCTTATTCTTAAGGATTTCTGAATTAGATAACACCATTGTACTTAAAATGGATTAAGGTCCTTAATTGTTCAAAAAGTACAAAAAATTAATAAAAAAAGGTTAAGGATTCATTGGAGAAGTACACTATTGTACATGCTCTAAGCATGAGAGAAATTGTCTAGCCGGGAGAGAACGGAACTTAAACTGCTACGGAAGAAAAATGAAAGAAAAAGGAGAACATTTGGGAGGAGAGAGGAAAAATTGTTCCAGAAACTTGTCATTTTCTTTCCTATCAAATAGATAAGTTTGGGACTTGTAAATCTATTTTCAAATTTTCAAATATATTGTTGAGTTTTCAGTTCTATTTTTATGCTTTTGAGTACTTAAAGTTTTCGTGTTTTCAAGGGTTTTGGTATATTTGGGTATATTAGGTATTCTAACGGCTCTTGGATTTTCGAATATATTTTTAAATTTTCTGAGTTATGTTTGAGTTTTTAGTGTTTTTTTTCCTTGGATCAACAATGTTGACAGTTTTTCCTTAGATCAAACAGAAAGTCCTGAAATTTTCGAGTTATGGGATGGTTCTTGATATGTCTGAACGTATCCAAAATTATATAAAATGTAGCCATATAACATTTTTTCCTTAGATCAGCGATGTTGACAATATTTTGTGGACGGCTCTAGGATTTCAGTCAAGCTAGTACGGCAGTGTTCAGAGATAAACCAGGCACATGTTAAAAGTTGTCACATCTTTCTTAATTCAGCCAGAAACCCATCGAGCTCGTCCAGGTTTCCATCTGAGAGTGAGAATCGCAGAAAATGAAGGAAGATATTAAGACTTAAGTATTTTAACTCGTCAATATTACAACTAATGTCGCTTTGTTACCTGAACTCGTTGCCGGAAACTCGTTTCCATGGTTCTTTACGCTCTCTACTCTAGCACTTTCAACAACATTCGCTCTTTTTGCTTTCCACCTATCGATCCCAGCACGAAGTTCTGACGCCACTTTAGTCATCTCTGCAGAAAACCGAAACTTTAGATTCAAGGCATCACTAGTCATATACTATAAAGAGCAAAACAAATGCCAAGATAAATAATTTTTGAATGAGATCAGGAAATCCCATCAAAAGCAGTCAGCAGTAAGTATATCTCATCGATGGGTACAGAAAAAAATCATTAACTTTATTCCGAATATCTAAGTGAGAAGAGGACATTAAATCAAACTAACTAGCACCTAGCAGGAAGAAAAACGTCGATAAGGTCATGTTCGGGAACTAATGTCTAAATGATAACCCAACCCGTGCAACAATGTAATAATTGAGTTGAAACGAATATCAAAATCATCCAACTGGAGTGAATCCTAAAGTTTGCATACCTTTGAACATATCTTCCACTGATGATTCATTATAAAGCATTAAAGCTTCATTAACAATTCTTGAAGACTGTTGGTTCGAAACAGATTTGCTTTCTAAAGCCTGGAGCTCCGAGGTAAGCTCGACAGACCTCTTCCCTACCTGAAAGCATTTAAGACATCTCAAACTGTAAAAACCAACAACCAAAGTAATCACAAGACATTCATTCTGTCTCTCACCAGATTAAGCTTGTGGCTCAGAGAAGCCAATTCCGCATCCAAATCTTGGTCATCTTGGAGACTTTGGTCATTGTCGGGAGATGACTCATCCTGATGAACAACAACAAAGATGCTTGAGAAACAGAGCATAATCGTAAGACAATGAAGGACACATAAATAATAGACTCACACTCTCTGGTAGCACAAAATCTTGAGGAACTTCAAAAGCGTATCTAAGACAATAGGCTTCCCACATTCTCAAGCGGTTGTTCAGAACCGATTGAATCATACCACGAACAACATCACTGCTCTGAAACATATAGAGAGAATTAGGTAAGGTAGGTATGTAGTAGAAGAAGAAGAACCGATTGAAATCTATTAAACTCACTTCTGCTAGCTCTCGTGACCTGTTATCAGTTGCTCCAACGATTTTGAGAAAATTGGATGCTTTACTGCAAATGTAATGAATGACCCAAAAACGCTCAATTACAAAAGAGTCTTTTTACCTACAAATAAATGTATGCGATTTGAGAGAGATTTTACCTGTCATATAAATCAAAGGCTTCGCTGACAACGTCGTCAACGGTGTTGAGCGCAGCATTGATGAAAAGCCGAGGATTCAGATTCATGGAATCGAAAACTGCCTCGCCTTTGCTCCCTTCCATTCTTCTCCCACCGACACAGAACCCTAAAAATTTCTTAAGAGGGTAAGTGAGCAGTTGGACTGGGTTAATATTCAGCAGCAAAATTTAATACTCGGGACATGAATTTTGATTTTTATATATAGATATATATATATATATATAAATAATACTAGAAATACGGGAAAACAATACAATTAAAAAAGAATTATTCTTTTTAATGAGTTTATTATATTTTCTAAAATTACTTTAAAATAAAAACAACTTTTTTTCCATTAATGCCAATATAATCTTTTAGTTTTTGAGTCTAAAAACCGCGAAAAACCGCGAAAACCCGAAAAACCGAAACCGCCGTAAAACTCGAGCTAGTCCCGACACGACTAGCTCGCCCAACGGCGAGCTGAACCGGTCCAGTCCGGTTTTCCGTACGTTGAACCGACCATCCCGAACCTCGATCTCCCACATCCTCGATTCAAGGCTTACGTCCTTCGACACGATCATGTTCTAAACCACAGTCAAAATGTCTCCCGTTTCGTCTCGATCCGTCCTATCATTCAGGTTTTACGATAAAAACCATAAAGCATTGATTTCTCGAAAAGAACTCGAGGAAATCGTATAAAAGGAAACGGTGAAACGAAACACTGAATATTGCCTAAACTATACGATTTATTCAAGATTTTTCATAAAAGTCGTAAAACGCGTTGTTAATAAAAACACGTCGAGTGAATCGTAAAAACGGCAACGATTAACCGAAAAACGAACGTAGATAAACTTTACGATTAGACTCGAGGAACTTATTAAAAACGGCATCGGATCAGGAAACGATCTCGTATAAAGTCGCAAAACGAATTTATCGCTAAACGGCTCGGAAGGTCCTAAAACGTGATAAAAACCCATCTCGCGATCTTAACGAAATCTAACCCAAAGATACGATAACGTTTTGACGATTTACCCACAAAAGGAAGATAAATGTCAAGTTTGAAGGATAATAGTAAGTTCGAAGATAAATAGAAGATTTCCGCGGGAAAAAAAAAAAGATCAAGATAAATGGAAGATTTTCGATAAACTCGAATGTGGACGAAATGGAAGGACCAAACCGCCAAGGAAGGGAGTATATAAGCAAGAGGCATAGGGCAGAAGCAGGGACACGTTTTTCAGAGCTTTCACCACCAAACTTAGCATTTAAGAATATTTTCGTTTTTGTTATCGAGCTGCGTCTCAACAAGGGTTTTCGGTCTTAGACTACTGGAGCTTGGGATTTCGCCGATGGCTCGCGCAACTAAGGCCACTCTCGTTGTAACCGTGCTTACGCAGATCCGGAATAAAAACCTTCTTGCTCTTAATCTCGTTCATTCTCACTTTAATTTTAAGTTCATCGTTTTCTTAATTATCGTTGTGAGGTTCTGCAGATAGCCGGTCTTCTGGAAACTTAGGGTTTACTCAAAGTTTCCTTATTTACGATTTATTGACAGTAGGTGAATTTTGATTCCCACATGGTACCCAGTAATCCGCAAAAATAGAATTTTTTAAACAAAATTATTTTTCAAAATATACTAAATTTCATTAAAAATAATTATATTTTTAAAAAGATGAAAAATTTAATTAAAAATATACTATTTAATATTTTTTTAGAAAAAAAAATTAAAAATACTTATTTTTATTATTTATATTTATTTCGGGTCACGCAAATTACCCGCAAAATTAAGTGAGACGGATGCGGGTAAAATATATTTTCTTTGCGGGTTGGGCGGGGCGAGTTTGACCCGCTTCCTGACACCAAACGTAGTTAATTGATATTATTTTTTCGAAATAAAACTACACAATTACATACAATACATTTACATAGATATTGATGATAACAATAAAATCTGCATTAATCTGTTAAAGTTGTATTAGATATTAACATTTTATATCACCAAAGTAAAATATTATTTAGATAAAACAACAAAATGGTGTCCGCGCTTTTTAAGCGCGGATCAAAAATCTAGTCTATACTATTATTTGCGAAGTGATTTTTCGCAACGGAGCTCTCACGTTAAAAGTTGGAGTGGTTAATATCTATTCTACCCTTAATGAATTTATATATAATTTATTATCTAATTAAAAAGGAATTTATAATAGTAACATTATATTTATAAATTATATTAGATTATTGATTATAAATTAATATGATAATTGTCAAAATAAATATTTATTACAAAATAAGATAACTCTTATAGATATGGTGTTGTTATCTTAAAATAATATTTTTATATTACAAAAATTAAAAATTTGATTATAAATTAATATGATAATTGTCAAAATAAATACATATTACAAAAATAAGATAACTTTTATAGATATTGTGTTGTTATCTGGAATTTTTTGCATCGGAAAGTTAGAGTGGTTAATATCGATTATATCCTTAATGAATTTATATATAATGTATTATATAATTAAAATTTATAATAATAACATTAGATTTATATTTTATATTAGATTATTGATTATAAATTAATATGATAATAGTCAAAATAAGTACATATTAAACAAAATAAGATAATAATTATAGATATGTTTTGTTATCTTGAAATAATATTTTTCTATTACAATAAACATTTGATTATAAATTAATATGATAATTGTCAAAATAAACACATATTACAAAAATAAGATAACTTTTATAGATATTGTGTTGTTATCTGGATATAATATTATTTTTTGATAACATAAATAATTTTTTTTTTTTGAGAAAGCATAAATAATAATTGATCATGTTGAGTGACATCCCTAAGAAGGTTATGCCCGCAAGGCGGGCACAACACCTAGTTATGCTTAATAACACAAGAAAAAACCCTAATTCACCGAACTAAAATTCCTCTCTCTCTCTCTCTTTATTCATTTCTATCATTTCTATTCCTATATCTTTTTACACTTTCTTAAAAAACCTTTTTTTTGGCTATTACTCAAATAAGTCCAAAAAAATAATCCAACCAGGTACAAAATTATCGGTTCGTCGAGTGAACCAAACACATAATTTAATTATTTTTTTACCAATCCGACATTTTTTGTAACACAATATATTAAAGTCCAATAGACTTGACTACAACTGGATTTAAATCTCACGGTCTAGCGATAACAATCGGAATGACATTCATCAGTATGGTCAACAACAAAGGTAGGAGGATAAAACAAGGGATAAAGAGATTGGCTCATTGTAAAGAGACCTGAAGAAAATTCACTTCTACTTTTTGAAAGACTCTTCCAGCAAGAAGCATAAAATAGTCGAAATCGATGTTGATGAAACCAAACGAAAACCAGAGGGCGGTAGAACTGCCCGTTGAGAAGCTTGATGTGGCGAAGAAGCCCATTAGCTAGACCAGCGAACTGACAAAGTTTTCCAAAGAGACTATATGAATCTCGAATAAATCGGAGAGTATGAGGTTGGCCTGAAAAAGTTGAAAAATTCTAGAACTGTAGCCAAGAGGTCTGAAATATCTAAATTTAAAATAAAATTCCAGAATGAACGTAGGACCCTAAAGCCGTTGATGGTATGATCATTGGTGGCCTCCGACTTGCGCCACTTCTCGCTACATGAATAGAAAACTGTGTTTTGATTTGAACTTGGCAATGTGCAGGATAGATGATGGGCCAAGACTCACGCGGCATGACGGTCTAGGCCCACTTTGTATATGTGAACGGATTGGAGACAAGCAAAGGTTCGTCGGGGCAGTGTTCCGTAATAGTTGCATCAACTTCCAGGACCCCATTTCTTTAGAACTAATCTTCCATGGGCTCTCAAATTCCCTATGCCCACATTGCAGGACCACAAAAATCCTGATTGAAAATCACTAAAAAGCATATAAATGATTACAGAATGATTTAGAAAACGTTTAAGAGATCGTTAATGAAATAGACGAATTCACGGTGTCGAGATTGGATTTCTTTCCTTAACTCAATAAATCATCCGTATTGTGTGACGGTTTGAAATGATTTTAGAATCCTAGGATACAACCGTGATGAGACACTCGAAACAGAATCGACGAACAATAACTACTACGAATACTCTCAAGACTTGCCCAAAGAAACGAGTAGGGTTTTTGCTGGGACTAGCTAATTTATTTTTTGCGTGTCAAATAATGAAGAGGGTAGGCGCTTATTTATATGGAAAGGATACTTGTAGAAAAGCCAAGGATAACGATAAAGCCAAAGGAAAGAATATTCATGTTTATCGTGCAAGATGAGAATCAGAGATATTCCAAAAGTTAATTCTATCCAAAAGTTAGACGAATTCACGGTGTCGAGATTGGATTTCTTTCCTTAACTCAATAAATCGTCCGTATTGTGTGACGGTTTGAAATGATTTTAGAATCCTAGGATACAACCGTGACGAGACACCCGAAACAGAATCGACGAACAATAACTACTACGAATACTCTCAAGACTTGCCCAAAGAAACGACTAGGGTTTTTGCTGGGACTAGCTAATTTCTTTTTTGCGTGTCAAATAATGAAGAGGGTAGGCGCTTATTTATATGGAAAGGAGACTTTTTGACAAGCCAAGGATAACGATAAAGCCAAAGGAAAGAATATTCATGTTTATCGTGCAAGATGAGGATCATATATATTCCAAAAGTTATTTAGAAATTTTCCACAATTATTTTGACACAATCTAAAACGTTTAGATTTATCTTGATAATTTAGATTCAGTCCATTAGGATTTATCTGGAAAATTATGCAAAAAATCTTGGTATGAATTTGCTCCAAAAAAAACATCTTATTGTGGGCTAACACGACCGAGCTCGACATGGAGTGACTCACGTCGATCGACATGCACCTAGCATGATCGATCGATGTCGAAGGCGCGGAGACCAATTCGTGAGACAAGCCAACTTGAAGCCCAAACATTACCAAATGACAATTTTAACCCTGTCAAGTTTTAACCTAAGTTTATATACTCTGCCAAGGCGTTAGAGGTAGGGAGAGCTTTTTCGTATTCTTTTCAAAGCAAAAGATTTTAGGATTTATAGTTTGTGAGAGAAGATCAACAGAAATATTTGTGATTGGAACTCCATTGTTTTCTATCTATCTATACTATGCAGTTTCTGTTATGAATTACTTAGCT